ATACACTGACACTGGCGTTCACTGAATCAGTACATACACTGACACTGACTGCTTCGGTTGCAGTGTCTGCACCGACATGGTGTTCACTGAATCAGTGCATACACTGACACTGATTGCACTGGTTCCACTGTCTGCACCGACATTGGTGTTCACTGAGCCAGTACATACACTGACACCGACTGCACTTGTTGCACTGACGCACACTGGAACACTGACGTACTGATACTGATTTCCATTGACTAGAATTTATACACAGAAGACGACGACATCTTCTACCTGTAATATGCGGATGAACAAAAAAATTTCATTGAATGGAAGCATATCTGCTCAATAGTTTGGTTTCTTGGTGGAGATAAGCTACATACACTTTCACGTACATACACTTTTTCACCACTGCATAAAAAAACTACACTTAGCCTCTGCAATACAAAAGAGGCATTCATTATCAATCTATTTCAGACACTTGTATAGCTCACATTTGAAGGAAGGGGAAAAAAAACAAAATAAAAAATTCTTTTCTGGAATAGTTTGAATATCAATATGACATGATTCAACTTTTGTCATAAATGAGAAAATATTTTAGATAAAATTAATATAAAGCGTCTTGTATGAAACAATTTTATAAAATATGCCTCGAATTAAATACTATTAGATTGGATTCTAACATGTGAATAAGTGATGACATCATCAACGTTTATTATTAAAAAATAAAGATACATAAGATCTTAATCATTAAAAAACAAAGATAAACAAATTGCTTATTTTTCAGCATTAAAAAATCAAGTTATAGGAAAAACGACTTTCTGAGGCTAAGTAAAGCCGAACAGTTGAAATTTGAGCTGTATACGCTCCCAAGTCCTACTGGTTGTGCAGTAGGCAATGGAATTCAAGGATTTATAGAAAAGGTTTGCCAGGCAAATTTTTATATCCAGATATTCTAGGATGACCGATTTGTCTCATTTACTTTTTGAAGTACACAGAACTCTCGGATATAAATCCGAGATTTCCACATTTA